ACATCCTTAGAGGAATCCTATATTGTCATGGAATAACCACATCCACAGTCATTCAGCATAGTCTCTCGACCAGACAGCAATCCCTATCTTCATAGGGGTTGGAGCAAGAGATAGGGATTGCTGTCTCTCCAGCCAAACACCTGTCCCACACATGGCTGTGTTTGGTGGCCGCAGACATAGCTGTGCCATTAGTGGTTACACTTTAGAGGCTGTGGTGCTGGATGGTTGGACCCTAGGGAAGGTTGGCTTGAGCCCCGCATCTGTGTTACCAATTTCTCTTTTCTCTGTTTTACACTTGTCCTCTCGCCCTGTCAAGTTTTTTAACCTTTGGTTCATGATGCTTCCTGGTGGAAATAAAGGGGAAATTTCAATGATCATAGCAGCAAGTCTGCTCCGTAGGTTCTTGAAGATACAAACAACTGATGTCTGTGCAGAGCCGTTGGGTTGGGAAATACAGGAAGGAGTGTGTGAGCTATGCTGTGTATGTTACTATGATGATATTGTTATGCCTGACCCTGACAGCTTCCTCCTACAGACGTTTTCTAGAGGGGTTGAATTTTGTGATGTAGAAAATGCATGTCTTCTCTTCAATATAGGGCAAACTGAGTCCTTGGTTTTACTTTTGTAGCATATCGGGACTCCTTTATACTCAGTCCCTTGGCAAGTAATTTCATCTTTACCATCAAACTGGGTCAAAAAATAGAATAGAAATTATTCATTTCTAGTTGTTGTTCACAATTTTATCAAACTACTATTTCGCTAAATAAAACCCTAAACTACCTAATGGTAGGATGTAGAGGAATTTTAATTCAGAACATGGCTGTTCTGGCATGAGATCACATTCAAAGACTTAGGGCTGTGTGATCCAGATGGAATACAAACTCACCCTTAACTGAGGAGACAGAGGCAAGCAGATCTCTGAGTTCAAGGCCAGCCTGGTATAGAGCAAGTTTCAGGTTAAGAAAAGCTTAGGTCCAGGCATGGTGATACACACCTTTATTCCCAAGCAATGAAGGTAAAGTTGGTTTATAGAAGGAAGCACCCATGTTTGAAAGTGATGTCTAATTGAGTGGCAGAAACAGTGATGAATCAGAGAAAGATTTGACAAAATAGGATACGCCCAACTGTGATGAGAAGAGCGAGGAAGGGAAGCTAGTTAAGAGGCAATGAGAGAGAGAAAAAGAGAGTGGAGGTGGTATCATTGGGACAATAATAGACAGGTTGCAGAGAGAGAATTCAGGAGAAGACAAGAGAATGAGGAGCCAGAAGATTAGAAGAGGTTGCTGGAGTTAGTTTGAGGCCAAGCAGAGCAACTCAAAGGCCAAGAGAAAAGCCAGATTGAATAAGTTAGTTGGAAGAGGAGTTGGAGCTAGAACCAGCCATCCCAGAACTCAGTAAGAACTAGAAAGGGTGAGCTTACCTTATTAAACAGTAAGTCTCAGGCTGAAAATGTTCTAGGCCTAGGTTAGATTGTGCTGAGGCTAGAAGCTTCTAGGACTAGGCCTAGGTTAGCAGAAGGAGGCAGTAAGCCCCCGAGACAATTGAACAGGAGAATAAAAGTTCCTTTTACAGTAGGAAATTGAATTGAGTGGGACTTGGCATCTATGTATGGAAGAAGCAAGGGTTGACATCACAATCTTCAATTAAATATGAAGAGTCTGAGGCTCCTAGAGGTTGGGGACCTTGTTGGTTAGAAAGCCAGGGTTTTGCCAATCCAGGGGTGTGAGTCTCCATCTACGTGATGACAGGCTCTGCTGTTCCTGTTACCTAGTTATACTTATGCCCTGATCTTTGTGGATCTCATTCTAGATCCACGTGGATCTCTCTTATCTAATTTCAGACCAAACAAATCCCGTCTACAGTTCATTATTTCCCCCCTATTTTAAGCTAGTTTCTCTCTTGATCCTTCTCTTATCTCTTCCTGGTCTGCAACTCTTTTTTTTTTTTTAAAGAAAACTTTTATTCTTAATCTATTATGCACTTGTGTGTACATGCATATGGGTACAAGGGGTTGATGAGGCCAGAAGAGGCAGCGAGCCTTTGGGTCTGGAGTTACAGGTGTAACTGCAGCCACCGGATGTGGGTGCTGGGAACTCAGCCTTAGTCCAATGTTTGCTCTTCAGAGCTGAGCCATTGCTCCGGCTTTTAGCTGTAACTATTTAGACTCTAGTGGTCTTTGTTGTTGGTTATTATTATTATTATTATTGTTTTGTTTTGTTCTGTTTTTAAGTAGTGCTGGATTGAACGTAGGTTTCCCCTTTGCATGCTGGCAAGCACCTTACCACTGAGCTATGTCCTCAATTCTTTTGCCATTTTGTTATGGTTTTCATTTATTATTTTTGTGTGTATGTGCGTCAGTGGGTGGGTGCATGTCAGTGGGTGCGGCACAAGGGTGGATGTCAGAGGCCATGGGTCGCTCTCCTCCTTTCACCAAGTAGGTTCTGGGGAGTGAACCCAGCTGCTCGTACCCACTGAGCCATCTCACCAGTCCCTAAAAGGTTTTTTTAAGTTGTACACTGAGGAGGACTACGTGATGTTTCCATACACATAACACATCACACAGTGTTCAAATCTAGGGGAACATATTTCCTTAACCAATTCCTGATGATGAGAAAAATTTCAAATTCTTTTTATCCAAATTAAAACAAAATAGATAACACCCAGGACACCTTACTGCCTAGCAGAATTTCTTTCTCCTACCCAACTCTAAGCTAGGACTCATCCACTGCCTTTCACCCGTACGTCCCCGACCACTAGTCCCCTAAGCTTCTGGGAAGCACCTTTCTACTCCCAACTGCTGCAAAGTCATTTAAGATTCCGGGAATGTCGTAAGGTGGCAAGACAGAAAAAAATGAGCTTCCTGTAAAAGAGAAAGCAACAGTTGCCACCTGGGTCCATTCCACTGGGTTTCCTGTGAGAAAGTAGATACACTTTGAAGAAAAATGTGGAGACTGGTGAGATAGCTCAGTGGGTAAAGGCACTTGCCATAAAAGCCTGCCAACCTGGGTTTGTCCCTGAATCCCTCGATGGAAGGAGAGAAACTGAGTCCTGAAAGTTGTATTGTTCCCCCCCCACAATAAATTTTAAAACAAAATAAAGAACGAATTACTGAAAAGACTATACCCAACTAAAGTTGGTACTTCAAGGGAAACCAAAAGGGTCTAATGTTTGTAGGACTGGCTTTCTCGTGGCTTGCTCATCTTATGTTCATCAAGCCGTTTCCTCTGTCCAGTCATCGCTTATCTTGGCACTAATCCTTTTGAAAGTAATCACAGCAGGCTTGTGCACCCGCTCAACCCCCGTCCAGAAAACTGCCCACCATCTCGGGATTCCTTTACAGACAGGTCGGTCTTGCTGTTAGCAAGCCTGAGATGAACAATATCCTCCTTCATCGACACCGGAGAAAGCAGGCAATAACTAGAAGAGAACTGACTTGTCCCCAGAAGTTACAGTCCCCCTGTAGCTGATATCCTACTGTGTTTATGACCTGTAAGCCCTCAGTGAGAACTGGTTTAGTTAGTGGCTGTTGATTTAGTAGGATTAGCTATAATTAAAAAGAACAATTATTCTCAATTCACTAACTTCAAATAGAAGACGACATAGCCAACCTACCAATCAGATTAAAGACCCATATGTTAAAATACTGTCAAACCAGATACATACAAATGAGATAATTAAGCACAAACAATTTATAAATGGCTTCTCCAGTCATAGCTTACATCTTAAGTACTTCATTTATCCACAAGTATTCCTTTGCACTATTCTCGGGTATCTTTATGATAACCTTCCCAGTGCCTAACAATATGTTGAGCTTGGGAAATTTTAATCAAATGCTGTGAGAATAGATATGTTTGTGGCTCAGTGGAGCTGAGTGTCCGGTGTATAGATGTAATCTGAGCACTGTGGAGACAGAAGTAGGAGGGTCAGGAGTTCAAGGCTAAACTGAACTACAAGAGACCCTGCCTCAACCAAACCAAACAAAACAATCAAATAATAATAATAAAAAAAGGAGTCTTATGAAGAGCACCTGGTTTCAGTATTCCATCAGCATGCAGCTGTGTGGATGTGTGCTCATGTGTGTATGGACGCACATGTGTTGATGTATGTGTGTGGAGGCCTGAGGTCAACCTTGAGTGCTGTTTCTTGGACACCACTCACTACGGCAATCTCTACGTGTGTGTGTGTGTGTGTGTGTGTGTGTGTGTGTGTGTGTGTGTGTGGTGTGCACACATGCACAGGGGTTAGAGGTTGACAATGACTATCGTCTGAGTGACCCCCACCTTACACATCAAGGCAGGGGTGCTGCCTGACCCCAGACTTCCTGATTTGGCTAGTGTATGTCACCAGCTTGCTCCGGGCATCTCCTGTCTGTTTCTGCCTGGTAAAGGCTGGCAGAAAAGGCTGCCACATCTGCCTGGCGTTCCTATGGATGCTGGGGATCAGAACTGTGGTCCTTGTACTTCTGGGACATGTGCTTTCGTCTCTGAGCCCCAGGGTTCTGCTTGTTTCTGCCTCCTCAGCACTGGAATAACAAAAATGCTCGGCCACACTTTCCTTCCTTCCTTCCTTCCTTCCTTCCTTCCTTCCTTCCTTCCTTCCTTCCTTTTTTTTTTTTTTTTGAAACATGGGTTCTGAGCATCAAATTCATGTCATCTCGCCTGCACAGCAAGCATTTCACTGACTGGGCTATTTATCCAGCCCAGTATACAGCTCTTTAGGGACACATTTACAACATAAATAAGTCTGCCCGTTTGTGCTATGTCCTGTGGCACAACCAGATTGCATTCACATCTGGAGGTCGTCATGTTCTAGAATTAGGCCCGTAAGCTACTTCAGATCGATTTTAAAGCCTGATCTTTCCAAAGCCTTCCAGGAATTGATGGAATCTCTAATCCCTCTTGCTGATCGGTTTAAGCCAATCCTTTACCATCTCTTGTTTTCCCATTTAATATCAATCCTTTATGCCTTGGTTCAAGTTCATTTTATCCCATTTTTAGTTGCTGATGGAAAACAGCAGGACAACTGCCTCCCATAGAGATGTCTTTATGCTCCTGAAATTCTCTGCTAATCACCCCTTGGCTTCCTTTTCTCTCAGCTGCATAATTCTGTTTTTATAAGCCCAGTGGTAAATCAAATTACAATGCCGCTGGAGCCGAGGTTGCAAACAGCTGAGTCAGAAGAGTCACAGGGCCACTGTGTGCCTCATGGACCTGAACAAAATGCTGTGTTTCAGGAGAGCATCGAGACGGACAGAGCTTGGCTCTGCCTGTCTCAACGAGAAAGGCACATAAAAGTTAAAACTACCAACTTAGTTTTACTGTCCTAACCTTTCCGCACAGGGCTGACGCTAAAGACCCTTTAATCATCCCTGTGGTTTTTCCACGGAACCTCCCCAGTGGCTCACACTCCTCATTAGAGGATCCCAGACTTGTGTTGATGCTAACTGATGCCAAGAACAAAGGCATGGAGCTTCTCTCTAGCCACACGTCTGTTTAGTTAGACTGTGATTATTACTTCAATAAACAAGATTGTAGGCCAAAGACACTGCTTTCCAGCTGCTTTCACAGCACCCGTGATAACGCTTGTGATTTTCCAAGGTGCAGGCGCTAACCTATTTCATTTCTCTTTAACTACTTTTTCTAGCAAGTTGTAACCCTAAACTTTCCATTGCATTTAAATTACACTCTTCATGTTTGATAATTGGATCCTTTCAAGGTGACCTATGTTCTGATTTAGTCTCCAGCATGAGAGGTGACTCTGCCCAATCTTGGAGGGAAACTTGCATTAAAAAAAAAAAAAAAACAACTATACTATTGATTTCTTCCCCACAAAATATCAAATGACTCTGGGAATCACTATCATCTGCAGACTATTTCTTGCTTAAAGTGCAGTTCTTTCTTCCTTCCTTCCTTTCTTTCTTTTCTTCTTTCTTTCTTTCTTTCTTTCTTTCTTTCTTTCTTTCTTTCCTTCTTGTTTTGTTTTTTTTTGAGACAGGGTTTGTCTGTGTAGCCCTGGCTGCCCTGAAATCCTGTACTAGAGTGGCCTTGAACTCACAGATCTGCTTTCCTCCTGCCTCCCGTGTGCTGGGACTAAAGGTCTGCACAGCATCTCCTGGTTTAAGAAGCAGATTTTTCTAATCTTAATTGGATAGTAGGATAGTTCTGATCCATCAGCAAGCTCTGAGACTCCCCCTGTAATGCCACAGTTTTAGACCATCTTACAATGTACTTCATGTAACCTGGAATTCGTCTCATAGCATAGGCTGGCCTCAGCTTTGCCCTGACTTTCTTGCTTCAGCCTTCCAAGTGCTGGGGTTATGAGTTTGTTGTACCGTGCCTGGCAACACTTTAAATATTATCGTTTGTCTGAGACAAAGCGGTACCCTTCCTACAACACAACATTTTAAACACATGCCTAACGTTTGGGGGCACATGGAATAAGGGTCTTTACAAGCATGTTTTTGGCTATTATGGTACCATGTGAACTTCTTTGTCTCTGGATTTTGTTTTCTGGGTTTACACATCAAAAGAAGAAAACAGTGTAATTAATAATAATAAAAAAACAAACAACAACAACAACAACAGCAACAACAAAAACACCTAAAAAAAAAGAAGAAAACAGCAACTTTTATCTCATCTTCAGGTAGGAACTATGAAAGGAATTTTAAAGAATGACAAACTCTGCAATTTCCCCCATAAGCCTCAGGGATCTGACATGAAGCATCCAAAGCAATGCCTAATTTTGTAGGAAGGGGATATAGCATCAACTTCCGACTCTCCATCAACAGAACTGAAAAGAACTAATAGATGCATTTATTTGGACAGGATTTAATGTGAATATGTAATTAACTACAGATAACAGCTCAGAAAGTATACACACTTAAAAAGAAAGCTTATAATTAAATGTTTTTGAGCCTGGTGAACATTTTGTGTCCCGTATAATATAGAAACTAGCATCTTTGTTATGCAATAGAAAGAAAATGAGAGAAATCAGTTGTCTATTAAGACACCAAAATTTGTGTAAAACTGTGCTGCTGGGCTATGAATGATGTCAGATGTTTCCTAAGAGGAATTAATGAGTTTTTTGGTACATTTCCAGATAGCTGAAATTAGCCACTATTTCCCCCAGGTTGATGGAACCAGGCATCTTTGGTATCATGGATAGTGTCAATCCCTAACAAAACAGAGATAAGTGGCTTGATTTTTATATATACATAAGCATGTATATATAAAATTATCTAGAAATTATCAAGAAAATGTTGTATAAGCAGTTATTTCCTGTCTATTAATCTTTATACATCTGAGATATCACTTAGAATTCAGATTAAATGGCCTTTCCTGTTGCTTTTTGTAACAGAACTTTGAAAGATTTTTTTTTTTTTCCTTAAACAGTGAACAACTTGCAAAATAAAAACCCAGAAGTTGTTAAACTCTGTGACTCTCATGAGTGACGTCCCACAAATGGGTTTTACATTTTATCTGGAAGGCATTCAATTCCTTTTGTCTTGCTGCATAAAGATCTGATTTCCATTTGGTTCTAGAAGGCTTTGTCTCTATGACTGACATGAGTTACCCAAAATCTGGCCTCTGCCTTTGAGATCCCTCTGGGTTCTTCCTGCCTATCTAGTCCCCTCCCTGCCCCAGGCCCTCTGGGATGTACCTCTGGAGGGTTCCTGGTTCTCCATCCTGAAGGTGCGTTGGTAGACTGGGACCTGGCAGTTGCCTTGTGGAGGGCACTCCTGCCTACACGATCTGTAGAGGATGCTCATCTCAGGGATGACGTAGAGCAGCAGGAAGACCCACGCGTTGGTGACCAGGCCAATGCAGATGACCGCGTCATCCCACTGGGGCTGTCGCTGGAGCTGAGGGTTGCCTCTCAAGAGCATGGAGATCCACACCACCCAGATGATGATGGAGACGAGCACAGTGGCAAATATGAGCCTTCCGTGCTGCTTCCAGTTTTCACACGGGCCACAGAAGGTGGCCTTGGAGACGAAGAAAGTGAGGGCCATCAGGAAGAGGACATAGATCAGGAGACAGACAAAGTCCACATTGAGCTGGTACGGGGTCATGTGCTCAAACATCAAGCCTCTGGTCATGATGAGGGTCACGTACTCTATCGCGATGATGGTCTGCAACAGGCTGACACCGATAGCAATGAACAGAATTGTTGTCCAGCAGAAGGAGACTCTACCCCGGACCAGTTTCACCAGGTTGGAAGCATGAGCCAGGAGGCAGGAGAAGCAGATAGCAAAGAGAACCCCAAAGAGGAAGTAGCGAACGGGGGCAGTTTGTTGGTTGAGCTGGAGGATGAAGGCGAAAGTGAGTCCGAAGAGCCCCAGCACAGCCAGCAGGAAAAGGAACTGGGTGGGAAGCACGTTCCACTGGCTGCAGTCCTGCACCTTCCGCATGAGGAAGAGAAAGGCCAGGAGCAGCAAAATCGTAACCACTATGCCGATCACCGCCAAGGACTCCAGAACGATGCTCCATGGCCCCTCATTGTCACAGAAAAGGTAATATTCTTCCGTGGACTTGACGCAGTCCTCATACATGGTGGTTTATAGGTAGACCTCACACGAGAATGGACGACTGGTCTCCTGTGAAAAAAAAGATGAAGGTAACTCATGATTTTATATCCACCCACAGGAATGCCTGTTGGGAGTCCTGTCTCTTGTTCCAAATGAAGACACCATAGCATACGCAGGGAACAGCTTTACCAAATAGTCACTCAGATACTGGAGAGTTACGTCTTGTTTGCCTCTCACCACTTATCTGAACTCCAAGCTTCCTGGGTGGGGTAAAGATCTGATAGCCACAGAAAGAGTCTACAAAGGTAGGAATGCCATCTTCTCTATCACCCCCAAGTTAGTAACTGTTGTGTGTACAGGATAGCAAGGAAAGAAGTGAGAAGGCCAACCTAAATCCTTCAAAACTAACTCAGCTCCGTACTCTGCAGGGCAAAACCAGAACGGTCTGCACTTGGGGGAACTCCAGATAATCCATCATCTATTTTCATATCAGAATTCCAAGAGGCCATTTGAAGGCAGCAGAATCTTCTTGTCTAAGCAGTGGGGTTCTAGCTGTATCAGGCTCCAGAGTGTCAATGCATCCTCGACTGGATTATCTCAAACACTGACACCCTGCTTAAGGCAGACATGCAAGCTATGGTCCCCAGTAACTTTAATGACTGTCTCTTCTTTCATTTTATTTCAAGTCAACCCGATGCCAACGGGTTATTGTTAAACACCTGTTATTGATCACCAAAAAAAGTGAACAAGATGTCACCTTCCTTCAAGTAACTTTATGGATATTTAGGACTTAAAATCCTTGACTTAGCTGAGGTGGCCTAGAAAGACAACCCCATGTTGATTCCGGCAAAATAACATAACAGCAAAGCGAACAAACACAAAGAAATACCCCATTGCACTTTGAATACTCCTATCTCTATTCCCCTTTAGCTCTTCCAAATTCAGCTGGCAGGAGCGGTGATCCCACTTCACAGCTGACACCAAGGCCCCTGGACCCCAGCCTACCTCCTCCGTGTCTGCTCGGGAGCCGCTGAGGCTGAGGTGACAGCGAAGCTGTGACTGCAAATGAGTAAGGAGGACACAACCTCAGGTGCTTTAATCTCCTCAAATGGGCGGAAGACCTGCAGGACCTCACTCAGGTTCCAGAAGTGGCTATAAAAAGAACCGGAAGTTCACCAAGACACACCTAGTCCAGTTTTACGGCAACTTTTCTGCGCAGATTTCTTTGGTGGGGACAATTATTTTTCATTTACTGCTGACCAGAGGTGCTGTGGCCCCAGAGAGGTGTGTCTTCAGGGAAATCTGCCTCCTTACAGTATATCCCAATGTGTTTAGGAAGCTATGGGAGAATGCTTAAGCCCTATTTCAGGGGATTCCTCCAATCTCTTGACTTTTTTTCTTTTTCTTTTTTTTGTGTGGAATACAATCAAAGTAATTTTTTAAATTTTAAATTGTTATTATTTATTTATTTATTTTAATTTTTAAAATTATTATCATTTGTTACTATTTATTCAATTTGTGTCCTGGCTGTGTCCCCTTCCCTCATCTCCTCCCAATCCCATCCTCCCTCCTTCTTCTCCCCAAGCCCCTCCCCTAGTAGTCTGATAGGGGAGGACTTCCTCCCCTTCTATTTGACTGTAGCTTATCAAGTCTCATCAGGACTGGTTGCATTGTCTTCCTCTGTGGCCTGGCAAGGCTGCACCCCCCAGGGGGAGGTGATCAGAAAGCCTGTCACTGAGTTCATGCCAGAGAAAGCCCCTGCTCCCCTTATTAGAGAACCTACTTGGAGAATGAGTCTATGGGCTACATCTGAGCCGGGGTTTTAGGTTCTCTCCAAGAATTGTCGTTGGTTGGGGTATCAGTCTCTGCAGGTCCCCCAGGGCTCAGTTAGTTGTCCTTCAACGGAGGAATGGATACAGAAATTGTGGTACATTTACCAATGTTCCTATTAAAAACAAGGAAATCACGAAATTTGCAGGGAAATGGTGGGAACCCGAAGAGATCATTGTGAGTGAGGTTACCCAGAAGCAGGAAGACACACATGGTATATACTCACTCATAAGTGGATATTAGCCATATAATATAGGATAAATATACTAAAATCTATAGTCCTATAGAAGCTAAACAACAAGGAAAACCCTCAAGAAGATACTCAATCCTCATTCAGAAGGACAAATGCAACAGACAAAGCCTATGCAATGACCCTCCAGTTTCCTTTGTGACTCTTTTTCCATTTATGATTTGAAAAGCCCCCATATCAGTGCATTTTGTTTGCTTTTAAGATGCCCTATGACCTGGCTCTACCATCCAACCACATTCTACCCAGGTCTTTAGATTGCAATGGTTTAGCCACATTATTTTTTCCAAGGCCCACCTGCTTAACCTCTTTTAGATGCTATCTGTGTTTTGAATTACATTTTACTTTTATTTCCACGTGACTTGCTTCTCACCTAAGCCTTTCCTCCATGTCTAAGGTCTGGTTCATCAGATTTCCTAGACTCTTCTTGCCTTTCTCACTCATTCGTCCCTCACTAATGACCTTCTACCAAGTCTACAATACCTAAGAATACATTCTGGAGCCAGGCGTGGTGGCACATGCCTATAATCCCAGCACTCAGGGAGGCAGAGGCAGGGAGATCTCTGTGAGTTTGAGGCCAGCCTGGTCTACAAAGTGAGTCTAGGATAGCCAAGGCTACACAGAGAAACCCTTTCTTGAAAAACAAAAACAAACAAACAAATTCATTCTGTTCAAAATGAAAGGAATCCTATCTTTTTGGAGCCTAATTTATGAGTTAATATGTTAAGTGGTAAATAATGAATAGAAACAAATAAATAAAAATGAAATATGTCAACATGAGCCGGGTGCGGTGACACACTCCTTTAACCTCAGCACTTGGGAGGCAGAGGCTGGTGGATCTCTTGAGTTTGAGGCCAGTCTGGTCTACAGAGTGAGTTTCAGGACAGCCAGGGAGAAACCCTGTTTCAAAAATCAAAAAACAAACAAACTGAAAAGAAAAATGTCAACTTATCTGGATGAACCTCGCCTCCCTGATTTAAAGTGCTTGGACATCAGGATCTTTGTCTTCTCCTCCACAGCACCTGGCCCCTTGTGGAGCATCTGCTGGGTGCGTGGTTTGATGACGAAGGAACTTAATACCTCTGAGAAGATACTTTTCGCAGGGTGGCTTTCAGCATGAGCTTTTCAATGGAGACCACCTACCAAGGTACCAGACCGTCAGCAAACCCTTGACAAGCTCATGCGGAAATGTTTCTGTCTCGTGCATCTCCTTAACTTTAAGGAGGTCATTTTCCTCCTTTGAGAGAAGAACCTTCCAGGAAGGTCCATTTGCTTTTACCATCACTGTTAGTTCTTTGAAAGGCTGAAACTTCCAGGAAGAGAAAGGGGATGCTGCAGAGGACCTGATGGACACCCAGGAGCTCCATGAGTGGTGAAACTGGTGCCAGCAGGCACAGGAGATGTTTCCATTGAATCTCTTCAGGTGAACTACTTTGGTGAGGTCCACTTCCCTACCTTCCTGTGCGTTAGTCATGGCCCTCTCTCTTTGTTGTATGGAGAGGCCTCTTGACCTTGAGGTAGCTTGAGGCAGGTGAACTAATGCGTTAATGACCACAAAGCCCTTTGAGCACCTTAGATAAAAGGACCCAGCTTAAGTATTAATTATCTCTATTTGAAAATCTAGGGTGATAGAATGAGCCCATCTGTTGTTGGCCCGGGAGGATATGAGAGCCCATTTTTGCCAACTGACATCCAAATTACTCACACCTCGTTTCTTTTGGCTTCTATGCATTAACAGCATCAGGACAAAACAGCTGAGATATGTATGGCTTTGATGAATCAAAATACATTGATTACAGCCAGTCCATTAAAAATGGAGATAAAACAGGAAGCCAACACTGTCTGCCAGGAATAGATCTGGGAGGGAGTGTGAGTACTCATCCTGTCTAACTCTTCCGACAAGAGCAAGGAAGCCAACACTGTCACACGAAGAACTGAATAATAAGGAAGCAGAGACCTGGACAGATGAAGACAAGGGCCCGAGGCATGGGATGCCAGAGAAGACAGCCAGGGGGTGAAGTAAAGCTCTTGAGGAGTGTCTGCAGAGACTGGTTGACAGACTGAGAGCCTCAGCACTGTGGAGAGACTGGAATGTTGCAGGTCCACAGGCTAATTTCTATCCTTTTGGGGCAACCATTCCTTGCCCACCTCTGTGTCAGAACTAACATTTTGTAATGAATGGATAAAAAAATATTCTGGAGCCTATAAATTTAGTAGGCCACTAGCTTCTACCAACCCAGGAGCTCAGACAGTATCTTGAACCTATAGACCAACTTCTCCTTTTTTCTGGACATACCAGTGTATTTTAAACTTGCCTTGATTTATGACTTTCTCTGCCCTATAAAACTATAAAAACCTCATGAAATTGCTTCAACATTGGAACATGGAATTTGGGGTAACCTAAACTGATATTCCTAGGCCATGTCCACTCAAAATGGCTCCTGAATAAATTACTTCTTACTGCCTTTAAAAAATGAGAGCTGTGGGTTTTGCATAGACAGTTGTCCAACTCCCAGTCCTGTTCTTGCTGTGGTCCTAGGTTGGGTTTTCTGACATGTTCCACCTCTTAGGGACAGGTCCTTAGAAAGACTCAAGCCTCCCCACCCCTCAGACAAGGTGTCTCTGTGTAGCTCTGCCCATCCTGAAACTCACTCTATAGACCAGGCTGGCCTCCAACTCAGAGATCCACCTGCCTCTGCCTCTCAAGCGCTGGGATCACAGCGTGGCGTCGCCTAATAAGACTCAAGTCTTTGGATAGAACTTGTGGAGCATGACTAGAAGAAAGACAAAGGAAACAGCGTGAGTGAACCACGTGTTCCTTGTCCCACTGTTACTATGACCAGCCACGTGAGCAGGCTGTGACAGGGACAGACTGGCCAAGAGAGTGCTGTTTGTTCTGTGGTTTGTTGACATCCACAAGGTGCAGCTGGTGCATTGTGAAAGAAAG